GTAAATGCCAGTACTGGTGAGTCGTCTAGCTAACCCTAAAGAAATTGATGGTTTAATCCCATTGCTGGAGAATTGGAGTCAGGAGGATTCCAGCAAGTTCCAGACCAGCTTGATCTACATGTTGAGTCCAGGGCAGCTAGGGCTATATAGTGAGTCCCTGTCTCAAAAATCAGAACTAAATAAGTAAACAAAATGTTCTGTATGTCTTTTCAGCTATATATAATGAAAAACTATTTCCTAATATGTCAACTTAGTAAGTTTTTGCTTAGTTGGAGCTGTTGCATTTCAGGCAGCCAGACTGAGTGGTTGTAGTATGTCCTGAAAAAGCAAAGTAGATGTGTGTTTGCCTACTTTGCCCTTTGCTTGACCTGAGCTGGGCTGGGGTTTCCCAAAAGCAGATTTAATGTTGTTGGAGGTGGGGCACTGGGGGATAGAAAATGATGCCACTGAGCCAGACCCCATCCTGCTTGCATCTTAGAGCATAGCAATGCCGTTTGGGTGCGTGACTCTGGGTGACAAGAAGAACTATAACCAGCCATCAGAGGTGACTGACAGATATGATTTGGGACAGGTCATCAAGACGTGAGTATTGGGTATATTGGGCAATGATGGGTGGATGGACCAGAGTTGGGGAAGAGGGAGTGGAGTGTCCCCTGTCCCAAGGCTTAGGCTAAGCAGAGTGCCTGCTGACTTCAGTGAGGAGTTCTGTGAAATCTTCCGGGCCAAGGACAAGACAACAGGCAAGCTGCATACCTGCAAGAAGTTTCAGAAGCGGGATGGCCGCAAGGTGCGGAAGGCGGCTAAGAATGAGATTGGCATCCTCAAGATGTGAGTGTGAAGATTGATGGGAGAAAGCAGGGAAGGGCTTAAAGGGCAGGGGGCCTCAGAAGTACCAGTTAGTCTGTTAGAACCACCCACTGTAGTCACGAGAGCTTCTTAGCCTCGCCCCGCCCTGACTACTGACTCCTCCCACTTAGTCTGTTAGAACCGCCCACCGTAGGAATCAGAGCTTCTTTTGGATTCGCCCCGCCCCGTACTGACTCCTCTCACTCTTACTAGGGTGAAGCACCCTAACATCCTGCAACTGGTAGATGTGTTTGTGACCCGCAAGGAATACTTCATCTTCCTGGAGCTGTGAGTACAATTCTGGGGTTCCAGGATCTTCCAGCTCCTAGGGCCTTTTCTTTTTCCTCCCTTTATAACTAAAGAAACCCACATTTGGAACCCTAGTGGTCCCAAAGCCCTGGGTCCTGCCCAGCCAAATGCCTGGTACAAGTCAGGCTTCCCAAATGCTCCTGCCCTACCCCCCGATCCTGCCCACGCCGGGCTCAGGGGCTGGTGTCCCTCAGGGCCACGGGGAGGGAGGTGTTTGACTGGATCCTGGACCAGGGCTACTACTCGGAGCGAGACACGAGCAACGTGGTGCGGCAGGTCTTGGAGGCTGTGGCCTACTTGCACTCACTCAAGATTGTGCATAGGAACCTCAAGGTAAGGCCAGAGCCAGAGTGACTGGATTGCTTGGTAACTGGGAATGGAGTGAGTGCCACACTGGGCTCTTGTCCAGCTTCTGAGGCCCTCGAGATAACCTCTGCCCCCGCTCCACCATTCTCTTCTGGACAGCTGGAAAACCTAGTGTACTACAACAGGCTGAAGAACTCAAAGATTGTCATCAGTGACTTCCACCTGGCTAAGCTAGAGAATGGCCTCATCAAGGAGCCCTGTGGGACCCCGGAGTATCTGGGCAAGGAGGGATGGGACGGGATGGTGGAGGGGACAGCCTTCAGGGAGAGACTTTGGGGTAGGGAGAAGTCTCTGGCCCTGGAAGTGGGGATGGATGGTACAATACCTGGTTGGCCTGAGGCTAACCAGCAGATCTACACTTTCCTTTCTTTAGCGCCAGAAGTGGTAGGAAGGCAGCGGTATGGACGCCCTGTGGACTGTTGGGCCATTGGTGTCATCATGTACATCCTGTGAGTGAAAGGGCACATAACTGGACTTGCAGCCAGGTGGGCTGGGCGGTTGTTCTGTGGCCTCCCTAGGTGACCCTGCTCTATGTAGCCTTTCAGGCAACCCACCCTTCTATGAGGAGGTAGAAGAAGATGACTATGAGAACCACGACAAGAATCTCTTCCGCAAGATCCTGGCTGGTGACTATGAGTTTGACTCTCCATACTGGGACGATATTTCTCAGGCAGGTGAGGAGATGGCCAGCATGTGGGCAGAGCAGAGGGCAGTAAGGAGGGAGGCGCTGCTCTCAGCTTCTGCTGGATTCTACTCCTGCTCCCCAGCCCATTCATCACAGCTAGACAATGAGATGGGGCGCCCATGCCTAGCCCATCCCTGGCTTTGTCCCCAGCCAAAGACCTGGTCACAAGGCTGATGGAGGTGGAGCAAGATCAGCGGATCACTGCAGAAGAGGCCATCTCCCACGAATGGTGAGCAGGGCCCTGTGGAGAATGGGAGTTGAGGCTAAGTTCTGATTACCCTCTGAACTTCTTACACCAGGAGTCCTTATCCTTGAGGCACAGAGGGAAGGGCTGTGTCGTCTCCATGAAGGCACAGAGCGTCCTATCTGCGGCACTTGCCTCCTTTCTAGGATTTCTGGTAACGCCGCTTCTGATAAGAACATCAAGGATGGTGTCTGTGCCCAGATTGAAAAGAACTTTGCCAGAGCCAAGTGGAAGGTAGGGTTTGGCTCGCTTTCTTCTTGGCCCAATTTCAAGTGCTTCTTCTTGCACCCACAGTTTCTTGCTGCCGCTGCACCTCTTCAGCTGAACACGAATTTTTCTCAGGCTATCATATGCGGCTTCTAGCTTCTGCTATTATCTTAACTTGAAGTACTGAGCAGCTGGGTGGCCAGAGGCAACTGGGGTACTATGGAAGGGGATGGGTTAGCCGTTTTGAAGGAGTAGATCCAGCAAACCTCACCACGAGCTTTTCTTCACTGTCCTCCTTGCAGAAGGCTGTCCGAGTGACCACTCTCATGAAACGTCTCCGGGCACCAGAGCAGTCTGGCACAGCTGCAGCCCAGTCCGCTTCAGATACTGCCACTCCTGGGGCTGCCGGTGGGGCCTTTGCAGCAGCTGCAGCTGCAGTTTCTGGGGGTAGTGCTCCTGCAGCCACAGAGGGTGATGCTGGGGGTGCTGCCTCTGCAGATCGTAGTGCTACCCCAGCCACAGATGGCAGCGCTACCCCAGCCACAGATGGCAGCGCTACCCCAGCCACTGACGGGAGCGTCACCCCAGCCACTGACGGGAGTGTCACCCCAGCCACTGACAGGAGTGCTACACCAGCTACCGATGGGAGAGCTACCCCAGCTACAGAAGAGAGCACAGTGCCCACCACCCAAAGCGGGGCTGGGCCAGCTGCAAAGGCAGCTGCCACCCCTGAGCCGGCTGTAGCCCAGCCGGACAGCACAGCTCTAGAGGGTGCCACAGGCCAGGCTCCTCCCTCTAGTAAAGGAGAAGAGGCTACTGGCTGTGCCCAGGAGTCTCAGAGGGAGAAGATGAGCTGAATGGGCAGCCTGTTGGGGGCTTTGAGGGATGGGAAATAGGGTGGGAGTGTGGATGAGGGGCTTCTCATTGTATATAGAGTCACTGGCATGATGCCCTAGCTCCCCCAAGCTCCTTCATCCCAGTGGGGCATGCCTGGGGGCCATGGGAGAGCAGTCTTGTCTCCTGTGTGGATGTGTGTGAGTGGTGGGCAGGCCAGAGGCCCTAGCCCCTGCATGGATTCCTTGTGGCTTTCCTGTCTTTCGCTAGCTTCACCAGTTTCTGTTCCTTGTGGGATGCTTCTCTAGGGAAGAAACTCAGGGGGTCCTTGCTCTCCTTCTCCTTCCTTCCTGCCTCATCATTTCCCCAGGCAGGCCCTGCAAGTCTCGTACTTTCCCAGGCCCTAAATTGGGTGGCCTTGCCCTGAGAGCTGGTCCTCCAGCGAGGCCCTATCAGCAGTGTTAGGCTCCTGCACATGAAGGTGTGTATCTGCGGTGTGTGAGCTGCTCTAGGAGTAGACACTGGCTGCTCGAGAGGACTCAGAAATCTAGGGCAGTGTGCTTTAAGTCAAGTCTGGTCACATGGTTGGGGGCACTGCACGTTAGCTATGGGGATCCTCAGATGTGGGAGAGAGAATGGGTAGAAAGCTTCCATCTTTTCCCCTGGGTAGGCCCTCTGAAGATCCTTGTGTTATTTCTTGCCTTCCTTTGTCCTGTAATGGGTTGCTCTGTATCCTGATTCTTATGAAATTCTAAAAGAAGGGAGAAACAGTTAGGATGCAGCGATGAGACCTGGGAGAACAGTGTAGGGTCAGCACCAGGGCCCCAACCTAGCTGGGTCCTTCCTCTGAGTGGGATAGGGAGGGCTGGTCTTCCTAGATGCCACTACCCCCATGGTCTTCCTAGATGCCACTACCACAGGAAAAGATCTTACCTGTGGCCACCTCACGCAGGCTCAGGCCATAAATCCTCTTCCTCGCAGGGAGGCATGGCAGTACCTCATAGGCTGCTTGCGAGTTTGCTCTTTACAGCGGCAGATTTTCTGCTCTTTGTTCAGCAACGTGGAGAGGATTTTCCTCTATTTCTGCTATGACGGGCTGAAGTATCACTCAGCCATGTTAAGTTACTCTTGCTGGGATGAGGAAGCAAAATAAGATTCCTCGGTCCTGGAGGATGCTCTTGACAGGTGCCCTTGGTTCAACCCTATCACAGCCTGAACAGGCAGCCACGCTGGTCCTTGCCTTAGCTCGGCACTCCATGGTGGTCCTGCCCTTCTCCCTGCATGCCTGTGGGTCTGCTCTGGTATGTGAAGGTTGGTGGGCTAACTGTGTGCCTACTGAACCTGGCAAATAAACGTCACCCTGCAAAGCCTCTGGCCACCCTCTTGCCTTTGCTTCCTCTGTCCCATGGGAGGCAGTGGGGGAGGGGAGAGGCTGATGCTCAGTGCCTTGCTTGGGGTGAAAGTGTAGGTCACCCGTTCTAATGAATACTTGGGTGGTGTTGCTGGGGATCCTCTGGACTCTAGAGAACCATGTGAGTGATGTATTTCAGCCAAGAACTATCCCTGAGTGAGTGCCTGAAGGGCTGACGCTTTTCCAACTCTTGTGGACCAAGGAGCCTTTGTCTTAACTTGGACATAGAGATGGGATCCACTCAGGGCCAACCATTCCAGGGAGAGCCTTTGCTTGTGGCCAGAGTGGGCCTCTTTGGGCTGGGGAGAGGGTGGGATTGCACAAAAGTTCTGTGCTGTATGTTGATGCCTACTTCCTGTGAATACCTGTGCTTTCCACTTAGACCAAAAAGATTTCACTCTGTCTTCCCCGGCTGGAGTCATGTATGTTTCTTCTGGGGGAGTAATACTGCTAACTATATCATTAGAATCCCTACGGAGACTTCCTTCAGCTCAGATGGGCTTTGCTGAACTCACCTGGGTTGCTTTCTCAGGGAGGACCTTAAATTATCTGATGTGGGAATAATAAAGAGGGTTTGTTATTTCCTGGTCTTTGAAGCATCTGTGCCTCCAAAAATCATTATCCTACAGTCCCAGGCATGAGGAATCCTGGGAGATAAGAGCTAAATTACTGGCCCTAGTGTCTACCTAATTTCAAGGGTTATTAGGTCATATTTGAATAAAGGCAAGGCTAGAGTAGTAGTGTCTTGATGGGTTGGGACTTAATGTGTTCATCTTTCCAAGACCATTCATAATAGAAGGCTGAGAAAGTGGGTCCCTTCTTCTGGTCTGTGAACTGTGGCTGCCGGCACACTATCACTTTTCATAACCTTGGGACCGTCATCCCTTTGCCTTGGGATGTCATTTTATTAGATTGCCCCGACGTGCAGCAAGAAGAGGTCTGGTTCGCTTTGCACTAGCTCTAGTTTGACACAATACTCAGTTTAGCAGGGATAGGGATCAGCCTGCGGCATCACTGTTTTCCGCCCCAGTCCATCGCAGGCCACTACTAGCAGAAATGGGGATCCATTCCTAGGAAATCCCAAAGAGCGGCCTCGCTAAGTCCCAGGATTCTGCACAGTTGGCGGGCCTCTTATCCCTGCTGATCCAGCGCTCCTCCCCGCCCTGAAGTTTGTCCAATCAGAGCGAAGTAATCAGCTAGGTTGGTTGTCATGACTTCCGGTCCAGCACCGGAAGTTGTGCAGTGGAGCGAAATTTGAAGGAAGTGGAGCCGCGGCGGTGCGGCCACCAAGCTGAATCTGTTGCAGTTTCACGGGCTGTCCTGGTCACTTGAGTCTAACCATTATGCCTATCCGCGCTCTGTGCACTATCTGCTCCGACTTCTTCGATCACTCCCGCGACGTGGCTGCCATCCACTGTGGCCACACTTTCCACATGCAATGGTGAGTAACAGCGGTGTAGGGTCCCCATCGCGTGTCCTAGAGGCTATGGGGTATCGGGCCTAGAGGCAGGCCAACCTCCGAACTCAGACAGGTGGTGACATTAGGGATGCCTCACGGAAGCTTTCCGGCCTGGGCCGAAGTGAACCAGGTGGAAGCGATAGCTTCCCGGGGTACGGTGAAAAGAGTTAGGTGCCTCTTTATTAACTTGTGCAAAGAAATGTGACTTTGAAACTGTTAGTCTGAGCGGAGATGAGATGAGCTTTTTTCCGCATTAGCGACCCCTTTTATTTCTTTGAGGCTCAACAAACAACCAGGTAGACTTCTGTCAACCCTTAAGGGTCTGTGTGGTTTGCTTGATGGCTGGGATTGTTTCTATCCAGAAGCATCTCATTGGCCAGATACCCTTGTGTATTCTCACCACTCCGGCAAACCCGGCTTAACTTGGAAAGGCAAGGAAGTGCCTTCCTGTTAAGGGGTCCTGATGCTCAGCTATCTTGTGAGTGGGGAAAGGGTCCCTTTGCAACTGTGAACAGGCTGGTTCAAAAGTTCCCAACAAAAGAGAAAATAAGGAAAAGCGTGGTCCTTTGGGATGGTGGGAAAGGACAGTATCCTGAACACTGCTGGATAGCCCTTCCAAAGCTTTAAGACCATGTTATAGTCAGAAGTGTCGCACATCCCAGGAAAGGGAGGGGAGGGGAAGGGAGGGGAGGAGAGGGTGAAGAGGCAGGAAGATCAGGAGGTCAAGGGTAGTCTCAGTTACACAGTGAGGTAGAGCCTGGACTTTCTGAGACCTTGTGTCAAAAAAAAGACAAAATCAAAAACACATGCTCAGGGAGTCATTGTATACTTAGAAGTCAGTCCTACCACTAAAAGTACTTTCCATTACCTGTTCTCCTTAACCTTTAACCTGGAACTCTCCTGTGTATTTGCCATTGAGGTTTGTCTTTTGAAAGCATATTTGACTTTGAAAATCTGATTTAATGATCTTTGCATTTAACTGGACCTTTTAGTCCACTTAAAATGACACAATTATTCCAGGCGGGGGTGGCAGGTGATGGCACACACCTGTAATCCCAGCAGTCAGAAGGCAGAGGCAGGCAGATCTCTGAGTTTACGGCCAGCCTGGTCTACAAAGTGAGTTCCAGGACAGCCAGAGATGTTACACAGAGTAACTCTGTCACGAAAAACAAAATTAAGAGACACAATTACTGACATTTAGATTAAATTTATCATGTTCAGTATTTTTTATTTTGTTCCATCTGTTTTTGATTTTTTTGTAGTTTTGTTTTTGTTGTTTGTTTGTCTTTGGAGTTTTTTTGTTTGTTTGTTTGTTTTGGTTTTTCAAGACAGATTTCTCTATGTATCCCTGGCTATCCTGGAACTTTGTAGACCAGGGTAGCTTCAAACTCATGGATCTGCCTGCCTCTGCCTCCCAAGTGCTGGGATTAAAGGCATGCACCATCATATCCAGCTGTTTTTTTTAATTTTTATTTTAAATTACATGTTCATGTGCATGTCTGTGTAGCTGTGTGCACACCAAGTGCAGGTGCCCTTGGAGGCCAGAGACATCTGATCCCAGTGAGGCTGGAACTACACAGTTGTAAATTACCTGATGTGGGTGTTGGAAACTGAACTCAGGACAGCTAAAAGAGCAGTACCAATGCGGACTCTCAACCACTGAGCCATCTCTCCAGCCTTTTTTTTTTTTTTTTTTTTAATTAAGAACTCTCCAGCCTTTTTAAAACCAACAAGTCTTGCTGTGTGCAGCTTAGGCTAACCTGAATTTCCAGTTCTGTTTCTTCTGTGTCCTAGAGCTCAGATTGTAGGTGGGTGCCCGCCTCCATCCATGCCTTGTGCACAGAAGGCAAATGTTCTACCACCAGTCTGTATCCCAAGGCCTTGTATCTGGTTTTAGTTTGTTTGTTTCATTTTTGAAACAGAGTCTTGCTATGTAGCATTGACTTGGCTGGTACTTGGTATCCAGCTCAAGCTAGCCTGGGATTCGTGGCAGTCCTCCTGCCTCAGCCTCCTGAGTGCTGGAATTGCAAGTGAGTGCCACTACTTGTGGCTTCCACTGATGTACATCATCTTATGTAATGTTGGCTGGCCTTGAACTTACTGTGTAGCCATAGATGACCCTGCATTCCTAACCCAAGTGTTGGAATTATACGTGTGTACCATCCATGTTTGGTGCTAGGGATTGACTTCAGGGCTTTGTGCATGCTGGGCAAGTACTCTATCCACTGAGTATTAGTCCAAGTCCTCCCTGCCCCATGTGTTTTGAATAAATGTTTCCTTTTTTTGAGACAGGGTCATACTATGTAGCTCTGGCTGGCTTTAAACTCAAAAGATATGCCTGCCTTTGCCTTCCAATTAATGAGGTTTTTTGGGGGGGGAGGTGATGTGGGAATGTCATATATCAATCTGTTGATTTCATTGGTTAAGCAATAAAGAAACTGCTAGGCCCATTTGATAGGCCCACCCTTAGGTGGGTGGAGTAAACAGAACAGAAGGCTGGGAGAAAGAAGCTGAGTCAGTGAGTCGCCATGATTCTCACACTCCAGACAGAGGCAGGTTAAGATCATTCCTGGTAAGCCAGCTCGTGGGCTACAGCAGATTATTAGAAATGGGCTAGTCCAGGTTCGAGAGCTAGCCTAGAAGAGGCTAGATAGAAATGGGCCAAGCGGTGTTTAAAAGAATACAGTTTCCGTGTAATTATTTCGGGTAAAGCTAGCCGTGGGGGTGGCCGGGTGCCGCTCCTTATTTCAACAGGGAGGGGGTTTGGAATAGTTTTTCTCTACTGATAAGTTTAAATGATGATACAGAGAGTTATTATATGCCCTTTGCACAAGTTCTCCAGTATTCACATTTTTACAAAATGTTTGTGCAATTCTCCAAACTAAGAAGTTAACACTGGTGCACTACTCTGATACTACAGAGTTTGAGTTTTACTGGTGTTTTTCCTTCATTAATGCTCTTCAGTTTATTCCAGGAGTCAGGCTAAGTTACCAGGCTGTATGCAGTTGACATATCTTTTTAGACAACTCTGGTCTGTAACAGCTTTGGTGTTTTTGTAGATTTTGTTGTTTTATTTGTTTTAATGGTCTTGACACTTTTGAAGAGTCCAGGTTGGTTATTTTGTAGACTGTCTCTTAATTTGAGTTTATAATGTCTTCTTTTCTCTTTAATTAATTAATTAATTTTTATTTTATGAGCATTGGTGTTTTTGCCCACATGTATATCCTTGTGAGGGTATCAAGTCCCTTGAAACTGAGGTTGCAGACAGTTGTAAGCTGCTGTGTGGATGTTGGGAATTGAACTCTGGTCCTCTAGAAGAGCAGTCAGTGCTCTTAACCACTAAGCTATCCTTCCAGTCCCCTTGTCACATTTTCTTTTAATTGGATTGAGGTTTAGGGGAGACTACCACAGTGTGAGGTGCCCTTTTCCTGGCAACTTGTTGAGGGTGTGCCATTACATCAATATGCCTCATCTTTGGGGACCTTAACTTAGAGTCTTTGGTTAAGTTAGTATTGTCCAAGTTTTCCACTGCAAAGTTACTGTTTTTCTTCCAGTATTCTAGAGCAAGTTACGAGGTCCAGTTCACAATCAGCCAGGAAGGAAAAGTTTATTCAGTTGTTTGGACTCATGGGTATTTATCTTAGCTTTTAATTATGGACCTTATGTTATTTATTTTAATGCTCCTGTCTCCTGCCTCTGCCACCTTCTAACTTAATTGCTTTCTGTAGCTATAATTTGAACTAAGGGCCTTGCTCATGCTAAGTAGGTACTCTAACACTGAGCTACATCTTCATTCCCCCACCTACCTAGCGTCTTTCTGTGTGTGTATTGCTGGAGGCCATGGGAGTATACAGCAGGTGACAACTGGTATTCAACAGTCTGATCTACCAGATGAGTGACTCTCTGATGGGAGCCCCACTTGGTAAGGCTGGAGGTTCTCTAATTTTTCTCACATGCCAATAATAACAGCTCTGGGTATTTTCCCACTGCTTGTGTGCTTGTTTTGTGAAAATATTACATCTACTGGGCACACATATAACTGTGGATGGTCAGGAAGATGATTTCTGCTTAACTGTATCATTTTGATGAATAGAAATGATTCATAAGGATATTTTTCATTACTTAGACTGACATAAGAAAGTAATAGTATTCTCAGTCACAAAGACAGCTAATTTTAGACTTCAGAATAAATTCAAAGCAAACTGGTTGCCCCTGGAGATGAATATCTAGTTGCCCTTAGAGACAAATATATTTCCCAGGTGTTTATTGCTGATTCGAGGTCAGAGCATGAAGCAACTTTAATAGACATAAGTGGCTCAGCAGTGGACTTTGTGCACGCATTCCCAATCTCAAGGTTCAGTCAACTATTTACTGTGTAAGTCCTGAGTTTCAATGTCACTTTCTGTCTGGGAACTCTGACCACTTAGAGCTACGTGTGTTACTCACTGGCCAGTCAGTGTGACATCCCTAGCCCGAGAGAAACTGTATGACCAGTATGGCTCTGTTTCTTTTTTTTTTTTTCTTTTGGATTTTCGAGACAGGGTTTCTCTGTAGCTTTTTGGTTCCTGTCCTGGAACTAGCTCTTGTAGACCAGGCTGGCCTCGAACTCACAGAGATCCGCCTGCCTCTGCCTCCTGAGTGCTGGGATTAAAGGCGTGTGCCACCACTGCCCGGCTTGGCTCTGTTTCTTATTGTTTATTCAAGAAGTGCTTGCTGTGTGACCCTGAGAATGCAGTTCATATTTGTCCAGAGCTTTTGGCTGTGAGAAGAAGCAGGATAAATGTAGGGAGAAGTAGGAGAGACCTGTGATGGAGAAAGAAGTGTTGTGTAGCTGTGTGGAGACAGAGATTTTTAGAAAGGCGTTTTTAAGATGAAGTAAAAGCAAAAGTTACCATTAGAAAGTGTGTGTTTCCTTATTTACCTCTCAGATAGAAGAGTCTAGCCCTCGTTGTGTTCCTGAATTTTTTTTTTTTTTTTTTTTGCCTCCAGAGCAGGCTTTCCAAAAGGCCACTGGTAGTGTGTGTGTGTGTGTGTGTGTGTGTGTGGTGTATTATTGCTGGGAGTCACTTGAGAACTAATAGGTGTTCTACCATTGAGATACATCCTTAGCTTTTTGTTGTTGTTGTTGTTGTTATTCTATTTTATTTTAAGTATGTGGGTGTTTTCCCTGCAGGTATGTCTGTGCACCATGAACATAACAGTATCTGTAGATTCAGAAGAAGGTATCAGATATCCTGGAACTGGAGTTACAGACGGTTGTGAACCTCCATGTGGGTGCTGGGAATCAAGCCTAGGTCCTCTGGAAGAGCAGCCAGTGCTTCACACTCCAGCTCCAAGTCATTGGTTTTTTAAATACTACTATTATATTATGTAGCAAGTCTGGCTTCAAGTTTAAACTCTTCCTTTCTTAGACTCTCGGGAGCTAAGTTATAGGCATATACTCCGATGCTTGGTTCTATTATTATTATTATATCGTATATTTTATAAAATTAACTATTTTAACTTAAAATTTTTTAAACTTTTTTTTTTTTTTTTAAGTTTTTCGAGACAAGGTTTCTCTGTGGTTTTGGAGCCTGTCCTGGAACTAGCTCTTGTAGACCAGGCTGGTCTCGAACTCACAAAGATCCGCCTGCCTCTGCCTCCCAAGTGCTGGGATTAAAGGCGTGCGCCACCACCGCCCGGCTAAACTTTTTTTTTTTTTGAGGCAATATCTCACTATGTAGACCAGGCTGACCTTGAACACAAAGATCCACCTGAGTGCAGAAATTAAAGTTGTGTACCACCATACCTGACACTGTTGTAACCATTTTCAGGTGCTGATTGGTGACATTAAGTACATTTACAATGTTGTATAACCTTCAGTATCTATCACATGATAACTCTCCATGTCCTCTCATAGGCCCTGAACCCCTCTTCTGCACCTTCTGCCCCTGAGGTGCCTACTCTAGAGATCCCATATAGGAGGAGTCTTAATTCTTTGCCTGTTTGAGTCTGATGTACTTCACTTAGCATAATAATTCTAACATTCATCCATCTTATAGCATGCACCAGAATTTTTGTTGTGGTTAATATTAATTGTGTGTATGAAAATGCTGTTATTTGTTTACATTCATTTGCTGATAGGCAGGCACTTCCAGGTTGTGCCTGCTGTGAGTAGTGCTCCCGTGAGTGAACTCCACTACAAGGACCTGTCTGGGTCTCTGTTTCAGTTCCTTAGAACATATACCTGGAGCCGAGAGACTGGGCAGATGGAAATTCTATATTTAGGGTTTTTGGGACCTGGCATACTATCTTCCACAACTGTCTGCTTCTCTTCTTTCTGTCTTTGTCTCTGTCTCTCTCTCCATCTCTCTATTTCTCTCTCACATGTCTCTGTTGCACAAGCTAATTTCAAACATCATTTTATTATTTTTAGTGCTAGACATTGAACATATAGCCTGCTATATACTAACCCCATGCTCTACCTCTGAGCTAAATCTCTCTCTCTCTTTCTCTCTCTCTCTCTCTCTCTCTCTCTTTCTCTCTCTCTCTCACACGCACACACATACACACACGCACACAAACACACACACAATGTAGCTGACCTGTGCTACATAGTGAAAACTTGTCTAAAGTGTGTGTGTGATTCAAACCCAGGGCCTTGCACAAGTACTATCCCAGATAGCTATACTCGTAATCCTTCCCTTTTAATGATAGATGTCTTCTAAGTACTGCATACATCACATTGATTTTTAGTTTATTTTTAGTTTTTGTTTTTCAGTTGTGGCAAAATATGTCCATCATAAAAATTACCATCTTAATGATTTTAGGGCTGGTTCAGTGGTAAAGTGCTTGCCTAGCTTGCACGAGGCCAGAGGTTCCGTTTCAGGTCACACACAGGCACAGTTAAAACAGACATACACAAAACCAACAAAAGAAACCTCAAACTGGAGTAGTGACTAGCTCTCATCCCAGCACTCAGGAGGCTGAGATAGGAAGACCAGCCTGGGCTACAGCTGAACAACTTGAAGGTCACGTAACCCAGTGATGTTAAGCATTCACATTTTGTACAGCTGTCACCACGGTTTTAAAATGGTTTTGTCTTCCCAGATTGACACGCGGTGCTGCTTCAGTGGTCTCTGCCCTGAGGCCTGGTGACTACCATTCTCCTTTCTGTCTCAATGAGCTTGATTTCTCCAAGTACAGTTTGTCTTTTGTGATAGGTTTATTTCAGCTTAGTGTCTTAGAGGTTCATTCATACTAATTAGAGCTTGCTTCAGAATTCTTTCTGCCAGGCTTTTGATGCTCCTATCTGAGGACTAGGAGGTGCGGCACAGCAGACCTCAAGCCGGAATGTGGGAGCGATTGGGTTCAATCCTTAACATTGGGACAAAAAACAAAACAAACAAAAAAAAAAAAAACCAGAAATCTTTATCTCAAGATTCTTAGTTTAGTGACTTATGCAGAATTTTTTTTAAGTCTTTTTTTTTTAATCTTTTTTTTTTTAATTTTATGTGCATTAGTGTTTTGCCATGGGTGTCAGGTCCTCTGGAACTGGAATTACAGACAGTTGTGAGCTGCCATGTGGGTGCTGGGAATTGAACCCGGGTCCTCTGGAAGAGCAGTCAGTGCTCTTAACCCACTGAGCCATCTCTCCAGCCCCTGCAAAATTCTTGTTGCTGTCTAAGATTACATGTTCACAGTAGGGGTAAGGATAGTCTTTTTTGGAGGTAGGTGGCATTATTCCGCCTACCATTGTCTTTCTGGCGCTTTCATACATACGTGTGCCAGATTTTCTCAGAGTACCTTCTATGTCTTTTATCATATCTATATTTTTTTCATTTTTTGAGTTCTCTTGTCTTGTTTGCCATCCTCAAACCCAGGGTTTCCTACATGGTAGACGAATGCCCTATCACTGAACTGTATCTCTGCCCTTAGCTTTTTAACTTGGTTGGTTGGTTTTGTTGGTGGGTCTCTTGTAGCAGAAGTGGGCCTTAAGCTTACTATATAGGTGAGAATGACCTTGAACTTCTGATCTTCCTGCCTTTGCTTCCCAAATACTGGCTGGCTTGTTTGTTTGCTTTTGGTTTGAGACAACATCTCACCATTGGGAGGCCTTTCATTGCCTTTCAAGTATCTAAGATACCGGTGTGTGCCACCTTACCTGGCTTCTTTTTTTTGTTTTTGTTTAAGGTAGCATCTCATTAAGTAGCCTTAATTGCCTCAGAGTTCAATTTGTTAGACCAGGCTGGCTTCAAACTCAGAAGTCTGTCTGCCTCTCTCCCTCCCAGGTACCAGGATTGAAGGTGTTCATCCCTGCACCTGACTACTTATTATTGAGATAGCGTGGTACTCACCATGTGCCCCAGACTGGCCTTAAATTCATGGGAATCCTGTAGTCTCAGTCCCCCAAAATGGGATTACAGGCATGAACATGTCAAGGTTGCTTTATTTTATTGAAGTACTGCAGAAGTAACCAGAGAAAAGTACACATGCTAAAAGTACTTAGCTTGTAGGGTCGTCACAACTCCAGCACATCTGTGCAGCCGGAATTCAGGTCTAGAAGCGCGGTGTACAAGTGGGAGGGCAGCTCAGGCCTGCGTGAATAAGGATCTAGGTTAGCTCTCCAGCTCTGCAGAACAAAGAGGATATTATCTGCATTAGAAATGTCACGTGCTCTTCTGATTATCTGTCAGCACCCACACACTCCTAACGGTACCACTTTGCCTGTTTTTCCTTTTATACAGATGAGATCATGCAGAATATGCTTTTGTGCATGTGTCTAACTTCTCTTCATTATATTTTAATGACTCATTGATAATATGCTTCTTAGTTAACTATTCCACTTTTTCTTGTTAGCCTTAATTTTGTGTTGTACGTGGCCTTTGAATATATTTGTAGTTTTAAAAATGTATTTATAGGAAAGAATTGGCCGTAGGAAATGGTACCACTTTTCAAAGAGGAGTTTGTTTGTCTCTCATTCCTGGGGTGAAGAAGTCTGCCCCAGTCTCTCTCTCTCTTTCTTCTCTTTCTTTCTGTATAATTCTCCTGCCTAGTGCTAGGATTACAGGTAGGTACCACCACACCTGCAGGAGACTGTTTCAGTTAATTTTTAAGACCTGAGTTTTGGCCGGGAGGTGGTGGCACACGCCTTTAATCCCAGCACTCGGGAGGCAGAGGCAGGCGGATCTCTGTGAGTTCGAGACCAGCCTGGTCTACAAGAGCTAGTTCCCAGACAAGCACCAAAACTACAGAGAAACCCTGTCTCGAAAAAAACCAAAAAAAAAAAAAAAAAAAGACCTGAATTTTGCTTTGCCATACTGGTAAATTATGTCAATCTGGGCTGTGTAGCCCTTAGAGTTCTAACTTAAAGTAACAGAAGTTTCTAACAGAAGTTCCGCCTCCTGAGAGACTCTGAGTTTTGTCTGTCACATACACTCTGCAGCCCAGATTGCAAAGAATAGTCTTTGGCCAAGCCTCCAAACCCCAAACCACAGCCAGCCGAGCACTGTGCAGCCCTTACAGAAAGTCCTTCCATTGCAGTCAGGCAGGTGTTGGGGCAAAGGGGCGCTAACAGCAGTGGCCATGTGACCTGTATCCCCAGCCATGTGAGGATTACTTGTCTTTTATTGTTTTCATTGTAGCCTAATCCAGTGGTTTAAGACAGCACCAAGTCGGACCTGCCCACAGTGTAGAATCCAGGTAAGGATGATGGAGTGTGGGTCTCAGCTAAAGACCTTCTTTCCAGGAAACAGGGATGGGGAAGACATCTCTGAAATAGAAATATTCTGACCTTTTTGCCCCCCTTGTTTTGAGGCCAGTTGGTCCTCACAGACGCCCGTGAGTCACTCTGGAGGCTTGCTTACACCCATGGTGTAACCTTCTCAGTTGTTCTTCTCTTGTGTGCATTTGGCCTCCTTCAGTGTTTAACAAATGTTCCTGTGCATAAAGTTGAAGAATCTTTTAAGCACTCATAAGTGTTGTCTGCAGCGACATGTTTTCAGCCACCAGCAGACCAGCAGTCCTGACTCTGGGTACATGTAGAGATGAAAAGGTCTTCTCACTCAAAAGGATATGTGCTAAAAAGTTAGGCCTGAGAGCAGACCTGGCACATGTGGCTGGCAGCCAAAGCCACGTGTAATCTTTCCTCCTCACCTTTGACCTCACTCCACCGTTGTTCTCTGTCTTGTTCTCCCATCCAGGTTGGCAAAAAGGCTATTATCAATAAACTTTTCTTTGACCTTGCCCAGGAAGAGGAGAGTCTCTTGGATGCAGAATTCTTAAAGGTACCCAGGATTTATCTCATTCTACTGGATTCCAAACCTTCTAAGAGTTCACTTTTCACTTCTACTTGAGAAGGTGCCTAGAGTGTTAGATGGAGCTAGGCCTGTGGAACAAAGACTTGGCAGAGCTGTCAGGGTGAGGGCAGGTGGCTTTGAGACAGTCATCAGAGGCGTATACTGTAAGAGGAGAGGGGCCCATGACTGAGAACTCCCCTTGGACATTCAGGGCAATTTGGACTGAAGGATCACACGCCTCTCTGAAGGCCCTCGCCTTATGAAGGACTTGGAGGACTTCGAGTCTTCCTGCCCAGCACGCTTTTGTGCTGAACAGTTAGTGACACCTTAAGAAATTCTTCCATTCTCACTAGTCAGGGAAGATGTGTAAATCCACCATTCCTTAACCTGCCTGTGCCTCAAAGGTGCCTGGAGAACATGGTGTAAAGGCAGATGCCTGGGCCTTTCCAAGCCCAGCCATAGAGGGCAAAGCCCCTGAAATCAAGATTTCTAGCCTGACTATGGGGAGAGTAACCAGGTTGCCTTCTATCTTCTCCTGTTTCCCCTCCAAATCTAAGATCTCCTTGTTTTGTGTGAGGGAGCTAGATTGTCAGGATGTCGTGAGGAAAATTGGGTTGGGGTTTCAAAGTGCTTGCTGAATGGTAAGGGTTAATTTGCTGGGAATCTGTCAGATTACAATTCATTTGACCTTAGCCCCCTGGGCAATGTGATGTCCTTGGAACCTCCTTGCCTCAAAATGGTCAGAGCTTTTGTGTTTGGAGCCAGCCTGTTCATCGTCATGGTAACTGCTCCCAGTTTTAAGAGGTGTTCTCCCTGTGATGAAGACAACAAAGGCAGCTCAAGTCTTTTCAGCTTTCAAAGCCAAGTTTGTGAGATAGGGAGGCAGCATCTTGAATAGTTTGGAGCCAGGACTTCGAAGGCATCCTGTTGAGGTATGGAAGGACCTTGGAGAGATGGGGAGCTGTGCAGCAGCCGGTGTTTGTTCACAGGCAGATCTACCATTTCCGTTCCCAGTTGTGTGGTCTATGCCGCCCAATGCAGGAGCTCCTACTCCCAGAGCCCTGAGCTGGTAGTCGGGGGCTTACCACTGGTCATGTGAAATCCTGGGTCTTCTGATAACCTTTCAAGGGTGGTCTGGAGGAAAGTATGCCTGGAAGTGTGCTGTAAAAATCCTTGTTCTCCTGACTGTGGCTATAGGCATCTCTTGCTCCCAGAGGCATTGAGTTCTCCAGACTCCCAAATTGGAGCTGGATGTAATTCTACCCCAGCTTCTCAGAGTCAGCCTGGAGCTTAGAGGGAGGTACACAAAGCAGGCAAAGCCCACAATGGAGAGAACTGGTGATGGCTCAGAGTGGGGTGGCCGTCTCTGTTCTGTGTCCCTTGTGAGTGCAGCGAGTGTTCTGGAGGCTGAGGGAGGCTACTGCTGGGCCAGGAGCCCTGGAAGCCTCTGCTCTTGACCAGCCAGCCAGCAGCCAAGCTTCACTTCCTGCGAGATTCACTATGTGCACCTCACCTACCTTTCTAAAAGGCTCAGAAAGGAGCTGGAGAGATGGCTCAGGGTTTACAGGCACTGGCTGTTCTTACAAATGACAGGGCTTGGTTCCCAGCACCCACATGGGAATCTGACACCGTCTTCTGACCCCAGCAGGCGATGTGAATACATGATGCCCTGACATAAATGCAGACAAACATTAATACACATAAAATAAAAGTAATCTGTTTTAAAAAGGTTATGTATATGTATATGAGTGCTGTGTCTGTCCATATGCTAGAAGAGGGCATCAGATCTCATTAATATATGGTTGTGAGCCACCATGTGATTGCAAGGAATTGAATTCAGGTCTCTAGAAGAGCAGCCAGTGCTCTTAACCTCTAAGCCACCTCTTCAGCCCAAAAGTAAATAAATCTTTTTAAAAAATGTCCCATGTGCCTTAAATCTCAGCACTTGGGAGGCAGAGGCATGTGGATTTCTGTGAGTTCAAGGCCAGCTTGGTGTACAGAGTGAGTTCTAGGACAGCCTGAGCTACCTAGTGAGACTCTGTCTCAAAACAAACAAAGAAATCATAAACATAAAACAATGTGCATCTGTCTGTTGACTTGGCCTTGAAGTGTGTTGGGTCCTTTCCTGGACCAACAGTCTTCATTGATCCTGGGGCTCTGCACAGCCTTATGGGGGCCCATATGGAGGCTAGCTGAAATGTGTTCCTGTCATTTATTGTGTGTATTGTCTTACAGAATGAACTGGACAGTATTAGAGCCCAGCTTTCCCACAAAGGTAAATTAACAAGCGACAAGAGGCCCTGGGAAGCCCCTGACTCGATTGTTGGAGAGAGGACCTAAGGGGAAAGCCAGATGTTCTTCCTCCTTTGTCTTGCCAGCCCTTATAACCAGCCAAAGAGTAGAAGGCATCTGAAGCTGTCCACCTGGGCCAAGGCAGCCTCTTTTCACTGTTTCAAACTTCTTGCCCAGGACCGGATTTGGCAGGGTCCTACATGATGAGTTTGTATCTTCAGGGCTCAGATGCTGAGTTTAACAGGGATTTGCTTGAGTTCTGAAATGATGAATTAATTAGAGCTCCAGGAGTGGGGAACAGTGAGATCTACCCAAATAGTTCCCGCAGGAAAAAGGAGAGCTTCTCTCTTAGGCGAAAGCCCTAGCTTAGTTTTCTTGGTGCATAGTGGAGAGAAAAGCAGGCCACCTAACTTTCAAGCCTCACCTTATTCTTACCTGGCTCAGGGATAAGTTGCTTAAATTCAAGGGTCAAGGTTGTCATGCATGGATGGGCCTTTGCCTTGCTTTTCTCTGCTCTTGCTCCAGAGAGGGAGAAACGGGACAGCCAGGCCATTATCAACACTCTACGGGACACATTGGAAGAACGCAATGCCACTGTGGAGTCCCTGCAGAATGCCTTAGACAAGACAGAGATGCTGTGTTCCACTCTTAAAGTAAGTCCTCAGGGTCAGTGGGGAGGTATAGCCACAGTCCTGTGCTTGGAATACACAGTGACCTGCCTGTTCCTGCCTCCCCAATGCCGAGAGTAAAGGTGTGTACCACCATCCCTAGCCTGGGGTCACAGCTCTAGTCAGATCTAATAGTTCTGCCTCAACATATACCTTTGTTTAGACAGTGGTAAGGTGAAGGCAAATCTCTTCTTCCCAAGCCCCTTCCGTACCGTACCTATCAAGTTCATAAGAAAAGGGGCTATGATGGCTGTATTTGTGGATTTTGTACCAGGTAACAAGGCCTTGCCAGCACTTCACAGAGGGCCTGCTCAACGGAGACCTGAGTAGGCTGGGCCATGTTTCTAAAAGTGGCTCCTACTCCACTGATGAGGCCAGTCTGAAGAATCTTCCATTAGGACTCTAGTCCTTGGCGGGGCTGCTCTCTGGAGCTGGATCAAACAGCATCCTAGGGAGGAGCAAAGGCCTTTGAAGTCCGCTGTGCCGAGCTGACCGAGCAGATCAAAGCCGCAGAGCAAGCAGGCCTAGGCCCAGATGAATTTTGTATCAGCCTGGGTTTATGAGCCTCCTGTTCTCCAAGGGCCGTGAGGCGATTGATCTGAACTCACGATTGATATTCTAGTCTTGTAGGCAGGAGCAGCCCTTGCTGAGTGTCATTTGAAAGGGATAGGAGCCATCCTCATGAGCAGGCAAGGCCCGAGGATATTCATTTTCTGTTTCTGCATCACATGTCCTGCCCATTGGGAGGGAACAAGCTAGCACCAGGTTGCAGAACATTCCCAGGCCAGAGATGGAGTGTCTCCGCTGAGGACAGTCCCTGACCTGGCTCTCCTATCCTATCCTTGGTGCTTCTTGTCCTTGTGTCTAGATGAGAGACGAGTTTGTGCTCTTGGCTTCTTCAGCTATATTATAGCAAGTATGTACCATGAGACCCAGACCATAGAATCTTGGTAGCCCACAGTAGGCCTGAGCCACTGAACTGTGCCTATAGCAAGGCACATCTCCAGAGGTGAAGATACAGTGCCCTGAAGTCTCTTAGCAACAAAAGCGTAGGCCAAGTGAGAGCTATAGTGCAAAGCCTGGGTTGGGTTCCCAGCACTTCACAGGCACGCACACGCACGCACACACACATGCACGCACACAAACACAGGTTGGCATGAGGGGGTTCCCAGCACTTCTCAGACACACACACAGAGAACACAGAATAGGTCAGCATGAGGAGCCCTTACTTACGGGTTTTATATCTTACGATTTGGAGTTACGTTTATCAACATCTTCAAAAGATAGCCAGGTCCAGGTCTGGAGATGCACTCTGCTATAATCTCAGTACTTGGGGAGTAGAGGCAAAAGATCAGGGTTCATGGTCATCCTTGGCTACATAGTGAGTTCATAGGCAACCTGGGGTGTGTGAAACCCTGTCAAAAGCCAAAACCAAACAAACAAAAGGTGGTCTGCATAGCTCTCAGTGACTGTGGTTCCAAGGAGATGCATGGGTGTGCTTGCTCTCCAGAAACAGATGAAATTCCTTGAGCAGCAACAGGATGAGACCAAGCAAGCTCGGGAGGAGGCCCGCCGACTCAAGAGCAAGATGAAAACCATGGAGCAGTGAGTTCATAGCTGGTTTCTGTACTGTGCTTTCACACTGGGGACCCCTGGGAAAAGGGTGTGTTCTCAGAACTGCAGCTGGAAATGGGGTTTGGTCACCTTTGACTTATGTCCAGGAGCCTGTGGACACAGGTTCCCTCTCTTATCCTCTATGGCCCCTTAACTTCTTATGGGTACTCTTGTGCTGCGGCCACCAGTTGTCTGTGCCTGCCATGCTCCCCCCAGGGACCTCTCCACATGAAGGCCCTGCCCTTGAAGTCCTCTGTTAGCACCTCTTTTCCTCAGCAACATCCCTGGAGCTGAGCTCAGCTCTGCTGTGGAACTTTTCCTTGGGCACACCCACCTGCTAAAGCATCCTAGCAGCCCAGGCTGTTGCCATAGCAACGGCAGCAAAGGGAGGCAGACTAACCATCAGCCTCCAGATTTCAAATGCCGTGGGCCGGGAATATTTTTCAGGATTGAGCTCCTACTCCAGAGCCAGCGGTCTGAGGTGGAGGAGATGATCCGAGACATGGGTGTGGGACAGTCAGCGGTGGAGCAGCTGGCTGTGTACTGCGTATCCCTCAAGAAGTATGTAAGGCCAGGAACTAGCTATGATTCCCCAGATTTGTATCTCTGCTGCCATCTTCTGTAAAGCAGATGGTGTGAAGGAACAATTTCTAGAACCATATTGTCGTAGGGTGAACTCCAGCTCTTAGGCTGCTTTGGAGGTCTCTCTGATTTCCACTTTTTTGCATGGAGATAGAGACTTGCCTTAGAATTGCTAGGAGAACAGAGTGTGGATTCTAAGTGTTTCTGTTTTGTTTTGTTTGAGACAGAGTTTCTCTGTAGCTTTGGAGCCTGTCCTGGAACTAGCTCTTGTAGACCAGGCTGGCCTCGAACTCATAGAGATCACCTGCCTCTGCCTCCTGAGTGCTGGGATTAAAGGCCTGCGCCACCATTGCCCCGCTCACAGTGTGGTCTCTAAGAAACTCATGCAGCTCCCAGCTGTGAGCCCCTCTTGGTATCTGAAGTCTGTTTCCCATCAGCACTGTTCTGACCCCGTGTGGCTTTGATAAGAAACTGCCTGTATTCTCCATTATGGTAATGTGAAGTTGGGAGAAAGGAGCCATTTGACTGACAGGCACAGAGAATTCAAATGCCTCCATTTGGGGTGTAGGGAGCCCCCTAGTGAGGCCGGAGCTCCTTGCATGTTCTCTCTAATCACAGTTCCTGCAGGACAAGAGAGGATAGTTTTTGTTTCCTGACCTCAGTAAAATCTATGCAGACCTGCCAGGGGCCACCAGGACAGAGGAGACTGAGAAGGACTAAGGCTCTGAGCGAGGCCTTTGTTAGGTGGTGCTGTGGTGTCAGGGTGTACTGTCCTGACATCTTTCCTCATGGCCACTTTGCAGAGAGTATGAGAATCTGAAAGAAGCACGGAGGGCCTCAGGAGAGCTGGCTGACAAGTTGAAGAAGGACCTGGCCTCCTCTAGGAGCAAGGTAACTGACTGGGGACAACAGGGAAAGGAGACGCGGCTCTTCGTTTGTCGTGTTCACCTGGGTCTCCTGAGCTAGGCCATCCAGCCCGACTCCAGTGGGCTAGTGGAGGTGGCCTATAGACATTAATTACTGGTTTTTACTGTTCATTGTCTCTGCCTCTGTGGCTTGTGTCCTTGGGGGGCCAATTCATGGAGCTATGCCCCCATCACACGCTTATGCTACCTCTTGCTCTTCTTGGTCCCTAGGCACATTTTTAGCTGGCTTGGAGAGCACGGTCCTCAAGTGTGACAGCTTCAGAGGCCTTTTACCCTATCCCAAATGTGAGGGTTCTTGGGCCAGCTGCTCCCAGGCAGCCCAAAGTGTATATACCTGGTTGAGCCTGTCCGCAAGGGTCTGGGGTTTCTCTCATCCACGTAGTTTCTTTTGGAGTACCCTGACCATCCACTGGGTGGCAGAAGGTAGAGGACAGGCCATGTGGACCCACCGGTTGTCATTTGTTGCAGCTGAAGACTGTCTACACTGAGCTGGATCAGGCCAAGTTAGAACTGAAGTCAACCCAGAAGGATTTACAGAATGCTGACAAGGAGATCGCGGTGAGACTCCTGGCCTTGTGAGAGGGGGAGACGGGGTTGTTTATGTGCCTCCAAGAGTAGCGTTGGACTGTTTCTGCCCCGGAATCTGTATACCAGTCAGGGGTGGTGGTTCTGGGCTCTTTTTATCCTCCTGGGTCAAGGAGGTGGGTCAGGATATGTGCCTAGCCCTCATCTGGCCTACAGCTTGTGGCTCCTCAGCAGAGGGCCAATACAATAGCACCGTGGATCTTCCTTTATGATCTGCTGAGATCCTACCTCCAAGGTTCCTCATCCCCAGAGCAAGGGCTTTCCCAAGGAGGAGTTCTGAAGGCTGGTGTTGGGCACTCAGCCCTTGCTCTGTTCCCAGGACCCTTCCCACAGGTGTTGTCCTTGGTACCTCAGCCTTTCTCTCACATTCTTCTCCATTTCCTCCAGAGCCTAAGAAAGAAGCTAACGATGCTACAGGGAACCTTGAACCTGCCTCCGGTGGCCAGTGAGACTGTCAGCCGCCTGGTTTTGGAGAGGTTTGTTAGCCTTCTGGGGTGATACAAGGATCCTGAGCTGAGAGAGCCTTTATGCATGGCTTTGGTGAGATAGGTGGTGTTTGTGGACTTTCTAGCCAGAAAGCCAGCCACCAGCTTTGAGAAAATTTGGGATCTGATAAGGAAAGGTTAGAGGAGGCCTTTGAGTAGTCTCAGGATGGGGCAGGAGCCTGGAAATTTTGGTATATCCTGGAGTTTCTTACCACATGCATCTTCCTGCCCCCATTCCTGAATAACTCCCTCTTGACTGGACCTTGGCATACAACCTTTAATCCCAGCACTCAGGAGGCAGAGGCAGGTGAATCTGTGAGTTCCAGACCAGTCTAGTCTACAGAATGAGTTCTAGGACAGGCTCCAAAGCTACAGAGAAACCCTCTCTCAAAAAACCAAAATGAATGAATGAATGAATGAATATAAAATTACCTCCTCTGGTTCAGGAATGTGTGCTTTAAGGTGGCCAGCAGAGGGAGCCAAAAGACCGAGGGATTGGTGTCCCTACCAGGAACAAGTTAATCTGAGTTTTCGCAGAACCACGCTGGCTAGGAACATCCTCAAGGCTGTCTTCTTCCCACTAGAGGACCCCAGCAGATTAAAAATCACTGTCAAGGACCCAGAGTTTTTCAATATCTTTTGACAAATCAATATACCCTCTTCTTGCCTGTGAAATGCATACATTCAGTGCCTTCCAGCACTCCACTTTGTTCCTGGGCACTGTGCCCCTGACTCCACATCATAGAGCCTGGATACTGGATCTTGGGACATTCATGGAACTGGTTTAGACTTAAGTGGTTTCTTAGAGTTCTGCAGTGTCACAGCCATAAGAGAACACTTCTTTCTGCTTCTGTCTGTGCCCCAGCTCTTTCCTCACTAAAGGTTCTGTTGTCTTGGCCAGCCTCCTCTACCAGATAGCACTTGAAGTGTGTGTGTGTGTGTGTTGGGGAGGTGTATATGTGTATGTGCATGTGGAAGCCCCGGGGTCTTGGGGAGAGAGAGAGCACGTGTGTGCTTGCCTGCGTGTGTGTGCGCATGTGCATGTGAAGTCACAGGCCTACACCGAATGTCTTCTTGGACCACTTTGCAGTATGTATGTACATGTGGTCGTGCATGTCACACTGGATGTGGAGGTCAGAGCACAACTCTGTGGAGTCAGTTCTCTCCTTCCACCTTTCCATGGGTTGAGGGATCTAACTCAAGTGTCAGACTTGTGCAGCAAGCGCCCTTATCCTTTGAGCCTCCTCATTAGCTATTATTGTCCTCAGCATCTCTCTGGAGCCAAACTTACCTGCCTGTTCCAGTTTAGGGTTGACTGAGAGCTGTGGGAATATGATAGATGTCTGATCTGCTATGGTCCACTATCAGGTTGACAACCCAGTAGGCACTGTTCCTGAACCTTCCTCCCACCTCATCCAGCCATTGGCCATTCCTTCTCTGAGGTCCCATGTAACATGAGGGTCTTGTCAGGAGCTTAAACAGGTATAGTATGCGCCCTTGGGGGAATGATAGTCTCAGAAACCATCCACTGTAGAAAAAAACTTTAGAGCCCAAGCTGCCTCAAGACTGGGGATACAAAATCATTCGTTAGACTATCCACAGTCTCCTGATGGTGCTCCCTCTAGCTTCTAGTCCGTGAACCTCGGGTCCTCCCACACAGTTGTGAGAAAAACACAAGCACATGGGCCACCTCTAGTTCCTAGGGACTTTGCTTTTACTAATTTTCTTTACTACCCAGGTTTCTCTGTGCCCTATACTCCTATAATGGGTGTGCCTGCTGCATGCCAGCTCCCCATTCTCTCTCTCTCTCTCTCTCTCCTTTTTTTTTTTTTTTTAATTTAAATTATTTTTTGAGACAGGGTTTCTCTCTGTAGCTTCACAGCCTGTCCTGGAACTTGCTCTGCAGACCAGGCTGTCCTCGAACTCACAGAGATTCACCTGTCTCTGCCTCCCGAGTGCTGGGATTAAGGCGTGCGCCACAACTACCTGGCTCCTCTCCATCCTCTTGAGCCTTGTTTTAGTAGGATAATTAGCTGGGGGGTTAGATGATTAGCCAAACCCGTGTGCCCAAAGCCAGGCTGGGCTGCTCATCAAGTTGTATCAAGGATGATTGAACTCCCCTTTTTCACCATATTTTTCTAGGTATGAAAACTTGGGTAATAATACTGTTGCATTTAGGATTAGCCCTTAGAACTTGGCTATAACTAGTTTATCCTGAATTCCAGGTTCTCTCTTCTTGGGCCCTAAGATCTAAGAGTTCTTGGCTCCTTGGGAGCAGCCTTTCCGGTTTATGCTCTAATGGCGTAACTCTTAGAACTACAAATGCCTCTGTCTCTCTCCCTTAAGAACTGACTTGTTGCCGGGCGATGGTGGCGCACGCCTTTAATCCCAGCACTCGGGAGGCAGAGGCAGGTGGATCTCTGTGAGTTCGAGACCAGCCTGGTCTACAGAGCTAGTTCCAGGACAGGCTCCAAAGCCACAGAGAAACCCTGTCTTGAAAAACCAAAAAAAAAAAAAAAAGAACTGACTTGTTGCTGGGAAGAATCTTTTTTTTTTTTTAAAGATTTATTTATTACATATACAGTGTTCTGCCTGCATGTGTCCCTGCAGGCCAGAAGAGAGTACCAGATCTCATTGCAGATGGTTGTGAGTCACTATGTGGGTGCTGAGAATTGAACTCAGGACTTCTAGGAAGAAGCAGTCAGTGCTCTTAACTGCTGAGCCATCACTCCAGCTTGGGAAGAATTTTAAACTTTCCTAGTCTGTATGAAATGTACAGACACATTCATGAAACAACCATTTAAATCTGAAGGAGGAGAAATCCAGGCAGAGAAGGTGGAGAGTTCAAAGTCCCTGAGGCATTGCTAAGACGGGTTTGGAGGAGAGAGATGGGTAGCAGGTGTGCCAAATCACTGCCAGCCTTCACAAGTCAGCCTTGCAGGTGCAGATTTTATCCTAGGAGCAGTAGAAACTGTTGAAAATGTTTCTGGAAGATAGCTCTGAGGGCCTGGTCCATATCTCTTATTTTCATCCCATCATCTGCTAATGATTTCTTGAACGGTGCCTCAGTTTTCAGACTTGCCTAATGCCTTGTAGCCTCCACCTTGTGAAGTCTGGCTCCTTCGTCAGGCTCACATTCCCCTAGCCATGCTCTCTGTCTCAGGATTTTGTGGAAGAATCTGGGTGTTATTGATGATGCCCGTTTCATTTGTCATGGTGGGGTTACCCTTTGCTTCTGTCATCATGTTTTAAAGATTTACTTATTATTTATATAGGTGCTTTGCATGTGTGTCCGCACACCAGAAGAGGGCTTCAGATTGTGAACTGCCATGTGGATGCTGGGAATTAAACTCAGGACCTCTGGAAGAGCAGTCAGTGCTCTTAACCTCTGGGCCATCTCTCCAGCCCATATATATATATATTATTTATTATGTATACAATATTCTGCCTGCATGTATGCCTGAAGGCCAGAAGAGGGCACCAGACCTTATTACAGATGGTTGTAAGCCACCATGTGGTTGCTGGGAATTGAACTCAAGACCTTTGGAAGAGCAGGCAACACTCTTAACCACTGAGCCATCTCTCCAGCCCCCTTATTTTATATTTTTGAAACAGAGTCTCATATAGACCAGGCTGGTCTCCAATGCACTATGTAGCTGAGTATGACCTTGAACTCCTTATCTTCTTGGCTCTACATCCCAAGTGCTAGGGATATAGGCTTGCACTACCACATCTGATTTATGTAGACTGGGATTGAGCCCAGGGCCTCATACATGCTAGGCTGGCACTATGCCAACTGAACCATGTCCCCGGCCCTGCTTGTCATTTTAGGGCAGTCTCAGGAGGTAACCCTGTCTTTAACCTTGCCAGACCTGGCCTTGTTAGGTCTGAGGAGAACCTGAAGGAAGGCAGGGGCAGCTCCAACGGACCTTGCTCTTTCTTTTCCTCAGGAGTTTAGCAAGGCTGCAGCACAGTCCTTAGCCCGCCGGGGTGCCCATCAGAGGAAAGGAGGCCATAGAGGAGGTGTCGCTCATGGGCTCTAAGGGCTTCTAAATTCTGGGCTAGTGGGACCTTCATTTGCAGGACTGATAGGAGGTATGAGTTCAGGAAAGAGGTGTTGACAGCCTCTGTGCCACACAGTAACACATCTGCCTAGGGCTTTGGCCCTGGCTTAGACAGGAGGGCTTTGAATCTCTTGCCTCATTTCCTGAGGCCTCTGTCATGAAGCTGTGTAAGTTGGCCATAGGTGATTGTCTCAGAGGTAATAGAATCACTCAGAGTGCCTCAAGCCAGGCCTTCACTATAGCAATGGAGTCTTAGGCTCTCCACAGAGACTAGGCTCTCCCTCCATGTGTTGGAGAGATAAGAGTTAGGGATGAAAGAAAGTGAACCCCTGTCAGAAAGGGAACCAGACTTCTATTTGCAAAGGAAGAAGATACCAGAAAAGGTTGGAACAGTCTGAGAGAACAAGAAAATATGTCCTTATGAGCTTCATGTTGGAATGAGAGAGACAGTGTGAGCCTCCTGAGTCTTGGGTTTAGTGTGGTAGATAGTACATGAAAAGACCAGCTTGACTCGAGCCAAGGTTGAGCATGTACCGTGGGTACCACTGGTAAGACTTGGGGGATGGTAGTGCCAGGCTGGGCCTGTCTCTCCAGTTTGCCTTTCCTTCCTTAGCCTAAACTTGCTGGAGTTGGTAAGCAATTACAGAATGGTGCTGATGAACGGAGGAAGAAATTTGGGCTTCCTAGAATGCTTATCCAGCCAGATTTGTAGGTAGCTCCCTTTCCTCTGGTCTGCACACCTTGGCATGCACAGGGCTGACGTGTAGCAACCAAGGGAAGTCCCTGGGGAAAATGTCCTTTGATCTGTCTCTGCCATTCCTCACAGTTCTCAGACCTTGGAAGCTGGAAGGTACTGCCAGGGTTGTCTGGCAAGGCTAGAAAAATTTACTTGGCTGCAGTTTTCTAAAAGAGTGAGGACCATGCTCTCATTACAAAAGTAGAAAAGTGGAGAATTTGAAAACTATGAGCTTAATTGCAGAGGGAGTTGGACATATGGTGTGTTTCCTTCAAGTCTTTTTTCTGTAGGAGGTATATGGAGGATGGGGTATCCCAAATCATGTAATTGTACATACATATATATTGTTTTGTTTTATTTTTTGAGACAGGGACTCTGTGTAGTCCTGACTATCCTGGAATTCACTATGTTGACCCGGCTGGCCTCAAACCCACAGAGATCCACATGCCTCTGGCCCCTAAGGACTGGGATTAGAGGTGTGTGCCATAATGCCTGGCTTGTACGTGCATTTATTTATATTTATTTTTTCTCTCTTAGGCAGTCTCAATATATAGCTTAGGCTTGCTAGCCTCAAACTTATGCAGCTCAGGCAGGCTTTGAACTCATGATCTTCTTTACTGGGATCATAGGTACGTGGTATCACATTCAGCTTTTATATTGCTTTTTAAGTTGACCATATGGGTATTTTTCCATGTTAGTAAAGTTACTCTTGAGAACACCGTCTAGTGTCTTCGTGATTGTCGACTCCTGAAGTATCAGACCACCAGCATACTGTTGGCTGTGATAAGTGGAACATCCCCACATCTGTGGTTAGTGGGGGCAGGGTTTCTCTGAGTAACAGCTCTGGCTGTCCTGGAACTTGCTTTGTAGACCATGCTAGCCTTGAACTCACAGAGATCCTCCTGCTTCTGCTTCTTGAATGCTGGGATTAAAGGCATGTGCCACCACCACCCAGCTTCTAAATGGCTTCTTACACTGAATTCTGAGAAAGGAGTATGTCAATCAAAGGGAAACAACCCTTTCTTTCATTTGGTTAAATTTTTTTATTATATGTAAGTGTGTGTGCATGTTTTGCATGGCATACCTGGAGCGGTCAGAAGGTAACTTGTGGGAGTCAGTTCTTCCACCATGTGGCTCCTGGGGTTCGAACTCAGGTCATCAGGCTTGACCCTTACCCACCAATGGTCACATGACTGCAAAGGCTGAAGCCAATTGGTTTATTCTGTAGAGGTTAGGCCTCTCTCTGAGGTGACACTGAGTCAGGGGTGGGCTTTAGGAACCCTTGGAGCTGAGCTGTCTCTCCTCTTCTTTTTCTTCTTTTTAATGTTTTGCTGTTGTTGTTTGTATGTGTGCGTGCATATGTGCATGTGTGTGCATGGGTATGTTTAGGTGTGTGTGTACCATAGTGTGCATGTGGTATCAGAAGACAACTGGAGGGATTCATTTTTCTTCTTCCACCATGTGGGTTCTGAGGATTGAACTCAGGGCTTCAGGCTTGGAAACAATAGTCTTTACCAGCTGAGCCATCTCACTGGGCCAAGTTGAGTTGTCTTTGATACTTGAGGAGTTGTGATCTCTCTGAGTTGTCATTGCAGTTCCAAGTAACAAGATCATCTCTACCTTCAGCCCAGCCCCTATGGAGATGCTGAACCCGAAGCTCCACCGGCCATCCTTCGGTGATGAGATTGACTTCAATGCTACCTTCGATGTAGATACCCCTCCAAGCCAGACCTCCAGCTCCCAGCACCACTCCAAGAAACCCTGCCTGGAGAGGGCAGGGTGAGTGTTGGTCCCCGGCAGTGCCCAGAACCTGGCAGAGCTAAGCCATCTGTAGGTCCTGCCCTGAGAGCTCTGAGTAGTCAGTGAGGCTGCTCAGTAGAATGCAGCTTTGGTTTGAGCTACCTCTTCCTCCTTGGCCTGAGCGCTCACTGTGTCCAGTCCTTCTGCTTGTTTCATTCATTCTAGTCATCCTCAAGACGATGTTGGCTTGGGTCTTAGAATTCTCGAGTCCCAGCAGGGCACATCTGGACTGGTGGTGGGGCAGGTATCCCAATACTTTGAATGCTTGCCCACTGGAGTCCTGAGCATGGGACTCAGAATTTTTTCTAGTGTTCATGCTTTTTGTTTGTTTGTTTTTGAGACAGGGTTTCTCAGTGTAGCCTTGGCTGTCCTGGAATTTGCTCTGTAGACGAGACTTGCTGTAAACTCACAGAGATCCTCCTGCCTCTGCTTCTCTAGTGCTGGGATTAAAGGCATGTGCTACCACCACCCGGCTGAGGTTCATGCTTAATACAGGACCATGTCAAACCATAGATTCCCATGGCCCTGCTGGAACAATACCAGGAGGGAGTATCTAGCTGCTAAGATCCCAGAAATGGAATGGAAATGGTGTCTGGCTCTGGCACTAAGAATAGAAAGCCACAACCTGGCTTGTGTTCTCTTCTGCCACAGGCTCTTCCTGTGAAGGTTCCATAGGGGCTCTGGGAGCGCTCTGTAGGCTGCCTTGCCCAGTTGCACTGAGAGGCTGACTACTGTGGGTTTTCTAGAGTTGGTGCCTCCAACCCCCAACAGACAGGACGAGGCCTGAGCTCATTTGATAGCTTCTATTTTTGAGGGTGTGAATGTGCGCCTTTAATTCCAGCACTTGGGAAACAGAGGCAAGCATATCTCTGAGTTTGAAGCCAGCCTGGTCTACAGAGTGAGCTCCAGGACAGGCCTCAAAGCTACAGAGAAGTCCTGTCTTTAAAAAAAAAGAGGAGCCGGGTGGTGGTGGCGCACGCCTTTAATCCCAGCACTCGGGAGGCAGAGGCAGGCGGATCTCTGTGAGTTCGAGACCAGCCTGGTCTACAAGAGCTAGTTCCAGGACAGGCTCCAAAACCACAGAGAAACCTTGTCTCGAAAAACCAAAAAAAAAAAAAAAAAAGAGGGTACGAATGTGAATGCACGTCCTCCTGTGCATGGTAAGTTGGCTGGGCTCCTAGCACTGGGTAGAGACTAGAACTTGGAAAAGGTTGAAACCACAGATGGGGGCATGGTCTTTTCAGCTCTTCACAGATCAGCACTCGGGTTAGAAACCACTGAGGTACCTTGCCCAAAGCATTCATGATGGCAGCCATGCCACACAGTGGCTCCTCTTCTTGCTTACTTGTCTCTTGCCTTCCTCTCACTCTTATAGCTCCCCGGTGCAGGATGTCCTCAAGAAGATACCTAAAGTCTCCAGGCAGGTAAGGCCCGGGCTTCCTTGAAAACATACATGCAATCCCATCCAGCCCTTGCCAGACTGCCATGAAAACCTTACTTCTGAACTGGGAATGGTAGTTCATGCCTGTAATCCAGCTCAGGAATCACCTTGAGTTTGAGGCCTGCCTGGACTGTATAGTGAGTTCTGAGGCATCCTGGGCTGTAGTGAGACCATCTCAAACAATATAAAACAAATAAAGAAAAGAAAAGAAAAACAAAGAAAAAGAGAAACTCAATTTCTGAGGGTCCAAACTATGTTCAGGTTCCCTCCCCTCGCTCAGGACTAATACTCATCAGAGCCATCCTTGTAATTCTAATTCATTATTCTCTGCCTCCTGTCTGAGGCATCAGATATCCTGATCTGTTATTTTGTTTATTTGGTTTTTTTTTTTTTTTTTGATTTTGGGTTTGGGTTTTTTTTGAGATAGGGTTTCTCTGTATAGCTCTGGCTGTCCTGGAACTCACTCTGTTGGCCAGGCTGGCCTTGAACTCGGAGATCTACCTGCCTCTGCCTCCTGAGTGCTGGGATTAAAGGTGTGTGCCGCCACCACCACCTGGCCAAATATCCTAATAACCAGATCTCTGTCACTATGACTACCCCATGTCCTTTGCTGCTGTCTAGCTCAACAAGTCTGACTCTGGCATTACCCAATAGGAGCCCCAGCTCTCACTGGGTGGCCAGCGCTGTATAGGAGAGCCAGACGAGGAACTGGCTGGTGCCTTCCCTCTCTTCATCCGGAATGCTGTCCTGGGTCAGAAACAGCCCAACAGGACCACAGCAGCTTCCCCTTGCAGCACAGATGTGGTGAGTGTCACAGGTACCTGGTCTCCTGTGTGGAGCAAGGCAGTCAGCTCCCTCACCCATTTTCCTGATGACTTATGTCTTCCTTCTGCCCTAGGTAAGAATAGGCTTCGATGGACTTGGAGGACGGACAAAATTCATCCAACCTGTATCCTTTTTCTATGGCCATGGCCTGAACAGAGCTAAGGGACGTACACTGTGCCCTAACCTGTATCCCCAGGGTTCCCACTGCCAGTGCCTGCAGCCTAAGATGGCAGAGCTGTGCCTTGCTCAGTGTATCTGTTTTTCCTGCCCTGCATTCCAGTCCCCCTCCAAGCTTCTTCCTTGACATTGGTTCCAGACAGACACAGCCATCATCCGACCAATGCCAGTTAAGCCCAAGGCCAGGAGTAAACAGAAAGTGAGAATAAAGACTGGGAATTCTTCCTCCCAGCCCAAGCTGGATACCTTCCTGTCGCAGTGAGCAGTGACCAGAGTCATGTCTCCAATTAGTGGGCCAAGACCTTTGCCAACCCAGGAGTATTCGGGGAGATGGCTCTTCTTCCTGGACAGTGCAAGAGAGAGCGCAAAATCTGCATTTCCTGTGTTCGCTTTGCCCTGCACTGCACTGGATTTTACCTCTGGGAGTTACAGTTCCAGTCAGCAGAGGCTGCTGCTTTTTGCAGGTTTTTGTGTATGGCTACAACCAGATATGGCTGGACTCCTGTTTTTATAGACCAGGGTCATATTTGGTTTTGTATGGATGAAAGTGCTGGAGGATTCCTGAGCAGGCTAGCCTGAACTTCTGTCTGCCTCCAGCTCGCTGTGTGAATTAGGGGATGTTAGGGAAATAATGGGGGAAGGTTTCCATGGGAAATAAAAAGGCATCTTTTCTTCCTGGCTCTGGGTGTATAATCTGTACCAAGACTTCAGAAAATCAGTGTGAGTTTCTAAAGCGGGAGTGCCACTGAGACTCAGACCTGGTAGTTTTCTTCCCAGGCGCAGGAAGACTAGCAAGGATGGCGTCCCTGTAGTCTAGAGTGGGTGAACCAAGTGAGTTCACATCCATTCAGGGAACTCAGCAAGCACATCAGACAACCAGCGACCGAGCTGCTAGTTAGCTTTTAGGTCTTAGTTTCAGGACACTTTCTCCTGGAGAATTTCCTTTACTGGCCACTCACCTGGGTAAGACTTCCTAAACTTTCTCATTCTAAACATTAGGTGTTTCCCTAGCCCGTTGCCCGCTTCCTGTGAAGGTATCCAGCCATTTGAAGCTCTATGGGGATGGAGATGTTAGACAGCCTTGGTTGTATGATGCCTAGCTGTGATTGTCAACACAGTCTAGAGTCACTTGGTAAGGGCCTCTCTGTGAGGTCCTGTTAACTGAGGTGAGGAAGTCAGCCTAGGGTGGTACCATCACCTAAGCGGAGGATCCTGGACTGTTGAGAGCAGAGAACGTGAGCTGAGCACAGAATGAACACACCGTTGGGGGAGGCTGCTCATTTGTTCCTGGCCGCCCAGACTCGAAATAACCACACAGAAACTATTAATTAAATCACTGTTTGGCCTATTAGCTTATGCATATTTCTGGCTAGCTCTTACATCTGAAATCAACCCATTTCTATTATATTTTACCATAAGGCTTGTGGCCTACTGGCAAGGTTCCAGCTGGCGGCGCACGTCTTTCTCCTCTGGTGGCTACATGGCCTCTCCTTGACTCTGTCTTCTTCCTCCCAGCATCCAGTTTAGTTTTCTTGCCTAGCTCTATTCTGCTAATAAAAACAACATAGACAGAAGGACTTCCCACACTAGCACCCTCTTTGCTCTTAACCTGCTGCTCCGCCTTCTGGCTTGACTTCCCTGCAATGATTGATTGTAACCTGAAACTGAGCTAAAATAAAAACTTTCTCCCCTAAGTTGCTTTTGTCAGTGTTTTATGCCAGAGACAGGACAATAACTTATGGATGTTACAGATGTTATAGACAGTTATAGATGATGTTACAGATGTTACAACTTATAGACAGTTATAGATGTTAAGCTTATAGATGTTATAGACAGTTATAAATGTTGAGCCCATCTGTGGCTGACATGAGCCAAAGAGGGCTATGAAGGGGGAATTGCACCATCTGGCTGAAAACATAAAGGCTGGCTGCTAGCACATGCTGAGTGGTCTTAGGTCAATTGTCCTCTCTCGATGTTATCTATACAGTGGGGGCAATAACACCAGCCACCCAGTGGTGGGAATCTAGTAAGGTTATTGGTTAAGAACTCAAGATATGTAAGTGAAAAAAGTGAGATAGACAGCTACTCTGGTTCTGCTTACAGGAATTGTCTAGAATAGGTAAACTTACAGAGACAAATAGTGGCTAGGAGTGGGAACCAGAGTTACTGCTTACTGCTGAGAGTCTCTGTCTGAGATGATAAAAAGGGTTTTAGAAAACCGGTGGTGTTGGCCACTTGACATTATATGCCTTTAATTCTAGCACTCAGGAAGCAGAGGCAGGTGGATCTCTGAGTTCAAGGCTAGCCTGGTCTACAGAGTGAGTTACAGGGCAGTCAGGGCTCACAGAGAAACCCTATTGTCTTAAAAAAACAACAACAACAAAAAAGATTTATTCATTTTATGTATGAGTGCTCTATCTGCATGTATGCCTGTATGCCAGAAGAGGGCATCAGATTCCACTATAAATGGCTGTGAGACACCATATGGTTGCTGGGAATTGATCCAGGACCTTTGGGAGAACAGCTAGTGCTCTTAACTGGCTGGGCCATCTCTCCAGCCACAGAGAAGCTTCTTTTTGAAGTGGGCAGTGATAACTGCAGAGCCTCATAACTCGTCAAAGTATGGACAATAAGTGTTGAGTGCTCAGCCCTAAAAGACATCCATACCGGCCCCACTCAAGGCTCAGAAAGCATAGAAGGCTCATAGAAAACAGGATGCAATAATGTCAGAACTGGAGGATGGGATCTGCAAAACACTGTCTTCTGGCCATGCTATGACTGCTGTACTCTTGAGCTCATAATAGCTGGGACCTGTCCAAGATTTGCACAATGGGACTGGAGAGATGGCTCAGCAGTTAGAGCATAGACTGCTCTGCCAGAGGACGTGGGTTCGATTCCCAGCTCCCACATGGCAGCTCACAATTGTCTGTGACTCCAGCTCCAGGGAATCAAATGCCTGCACACAAATGTGAATGCAGGCAAAACACCAGTGGACATTAAATATAAATTATTTTTTAAAAAATCTGCACAATATTTGGGCCTGTGAGCATGAGCATTCTGTTACAGAGGGAGCAAGGACTCATAAGGCTCCGCCCCTCCAGGAGTGGGAGGTGGCTTCTTTAAGTACCCTCTCGCCCACTCTCCTGTAAGCAACCCTATGGAACTCAGCAAGTCACAGAAACAAGATGTGAACGTTGAAGGGGAACTCGTGGGAGAGGAAAGGATCAGCAAGAGTGGGACAGGCTAGAGAGGCTAATGGGATGAATATGATCAAAATACATTATACACATGTATGAGAGTGCCATAGGGGACCCGGAGAGACGGCTCAGCAGATAAGAGCACCCACATGGCAGCTCACAACTGTCTGTGACTCCAAGATCTGACACTCTCACACAGACACATGCAGGCATAACACCAATATACATGAAATAAAAATAATTTTTTTTTTAAAAATATGCCATAATGAGTTGGGCAGTGGTGGGGCACACCTTTAATCCCAGCACTCAGGGAGGCAGAAGTAGGTGATCTCTGAGTTCCAGTACAACCAAGGCGACAGAGAGAAACCTTGTCTTGAAAAACCAAGAAAGGAAAGAGAGAAAGAAAAATGAAGCCCAATACTTTCTGTAGTCAATACATGCTGATAGAAAAACGCGAACAGCACACAGCAACTCTGTTATTTTCACAATTTACTGTGAGTCTACAATTATTTCAAAAGTTTGAAAATAATATAAGGATGTATGTCCTTATTTTGTAACTGCCCCATGCTCCCCACTCTCGGATCTGACTCTCAGAGCCACTGCCCTCTTGTAATACTGGGTCTTGTCCAGGTGATAAACCCCAATCGGCCTGTAGAGGGCTGGCATCAGTCCCGGTTTGAGAGCTATGAACCAATTCAGAGTCTAGTTTCACTTCTGTTTTCCTGAAGTTACAGAGGAGCCAGGGAGGGAACTGAAAGAAGCAGAAACCAGCGCTTAGGTTCCTGTTTGCATCAGTTACAAGCCCTGCTGTGCCACCTCCCCTTATCCCCACCCCCCCACAGCAGCTGTGAACATTACCGCCTCCTTATCCAGCCCACGATTGAGAATGGATGGGGAGCTATACTCGAGGCAGCTGTGAGTCTCCAAGTGGGATACAAAGTCGGGTGGCCTCCAAACCTATGGTCTCTCAACTGCCTGCCCTCCTACTTCTTAACCACAGGTATGTACTGGGCCTGCCTGCTATGCGGAGGATTCGGGAAGCCAATGTCTTGCTATCTGGCCTGCAGGGCCTAGGAGCTGAGGTGGCCAAGAACCTGGTCCTTATGGGTATAGGCAGCCTCACCCTGCACGATCCCCAGCCCACCTGCTGGGCTGACCTGGCTGCTCAGGTGAGAGTTCTTGGGGTCTCTATGCTCTCTCTCAGAGCAGGGCCAAAGGGAGGTCTCTTTGATTAAAGCTACACTGTTCTGTCCTTAGTTTTTCCTCTCAGAAGAGAGCTTGGGGAGGAGCAGGGCTGAGGCCTCTCAAGCACAACTGTCTCAGCTCAATGAAGCTGTCCAGATCTCCGTCCATACAGGTGACATCACTAACGACCTGCTGCAGGCTTTTCAGGTACTTACCCCAGCCCCAGTTTGCATGCCAGCCTAGTACCTCCATCCTGCCCTCAGCAGCACAGAAGGTGCCAAGTGCTTCTGGTATCCATATAGGTTGTGGTGCTGACCAACTCCAAGCTAGAGGAGCAGCTGAAGGTGGGAACCTTCTGCCACGAGAATAAAATCTGCTTTCTGGTGGCTGAAACCCGGGGCCTTGTGGGGTGAGGAGTCTACCTGTATACCCCACTACATCACTGCCAACAATTGGCCCAATGTTTTCCCCACTCGAAACTTGCCCCTATCACCCTGCCTCAAACCTAGTGAAGGGTCTTCTTAATTCTGGACTACCATTCCACCTCAAACCTAGTGAAGGGTCTTCTTAATTCTGGACTACCATTCCACCCTTGTTTCTCAGCCTCAGTGTCCAGACCTGTTCTAGTACACTCGATGTGTACTAGATCTTTTTTTTTAAAGATTTATTTATTACGTATACAATATTCTGTCTGTGTGTATGCCTGCAGGCCAGAAGAGGGCACCAGACTTTATTACAGATGGTTGTGAGCCACCATGTGGTTGCTGGGAATTGAACTCAGGACCTTTGGAAGAGCAGGCAATGCTCTTAATCACTGAGCCATCTCTCCAGCCCATCGATATGCCCAAATCTTAATTTCCATGTCTTTCCCAGAACTCCCTCCCCTTGGGCCTGTCCCAGTGTCCCTACCATCACTCACAACTGATGAGCTTCCTCAGTGACTCCTGCCAACCACTCTAGGCAGTTGTTCTGTGACTTTGGTGAGGACTTCACCGTTGAAGACCCTACAGAGGTAGAACCCATGACAGCTGCCATCCAGGACATCTCCCAGGTGGGTGCTGAGTGTAGAGATTCACCTGATATTCAGAGAAAGGTGCCAGGGACTGTGGAAGGCAGGTAGAGGCACTCTGAAATCAAACTATCTCTCACCTAGGGGTTGCCCGGCATTGTCACTCTGAGACAAGACACCAAAAGACAGTTCTTCTATGACGGGGACTTGGTAGTTTTCTCAGGCATTGAAGGCATGGTTGAACTCAACGGTTGTTCTCCCCAGCCTGTCCGTGTGCAGAGTAAGCCGACCCTACTCCATCCAACCCCTGGCTCAATGCTATGTGGAAACTACTTATATTTAGGAATCATAACTTACTCAGCTGGATCTCTTCCAGAAGACGGGTCCTTGGAGATTGGAGACACAACAGCTTTCTCCCCTTACTTGAGTGGTGGGGTTGTCACTGAAGTCAAGAGATCCAAGACTGTGAGGCATGTAAGTGCAAGTGCCACTGAGGTGGGAGCACCTGGTTCCATCAATGAGTGCACAGCGTTCCAGACCTCGTCCTAAGCCACGCAACCCCAACCCTACAGAAGTCCTTGGACAAAGCTCTGCTTCAGCCCCGTGTGGTGGCCCAGAACACTCAGGAAGTCCAACGTGCTCACTGCCTGCATCAGGCCTTTCATGCACTGCACGAGTTCCAGAAGCTTCATGGCCGGCTACCCAAGCCCTGGGATCCTGTGAGTGGCACCACATCGCACAATACATAGCCTATCTTCCTGGATCTCACCTTTCAGACCTCACCTCAGTGACTATTTACAGCTCCAAGTTTGAACCCTAGAGGCAGATTCTGTACTCAAAAACAGGGCATGAGTACCACTATCTTACACTAGAGGTTATGTCCATAGATGTACTAGGCCTATAACCTGTAGACCCTGCTTGCTCCATCCTTAAGCCTGCAGAGACAGGTTGGAAAACTGCTCAGGTTGGTGATGCCTTTAGTGTCTCTAG